CTTCGAGTTATGTATCAAATTGTTTTACACTCTTAAGACTTTCTACCAATCTAGTTTTTTTTAATTGTTACTTTAAAAATCCCTCCTTTTAGCTGCCACAAAATGTACTGTGAACCAGTGAAATAATGCTCAGTACAGGCATAAATGAGGTAAAATTGGCTTGTCATATCTCCTAAACAAGCATGGTGACCTACCTTTTTATTGTAATTTTTGGAACAGACATGAGCAGGGAACATTTAGAGAATGTTTAAAATAAATTGTTTGAAATTTTTTTCTCTCAGGAATCACCTTAAGGCTACTGTGAACAAAATCTGGTCACAATTTATAAAATTTCATTTTTTTGCCTCTCAGTCAGAGAAAGCACATAGTCCTTGTGTAAGTTTAGTCCTTTGCAGATTTTTTTTTTAATTACAAAATATTAAAAAGTGGATGAGATACCACTGAAAGGGTTATTTAGGGGAAATGGTAACAAGTAGCAAAAGGTGTCATAATCATTGCCATAATCAAAAAGGCCGCTAGCAGTCAGGTGTACTGGCATTTTTTGCAGCCCTTTGCCCAGGAGTTTGGAAGGAATTTCTGTAAAAATTTTGCCAAGTGTTGGAGTAACAAGAGGCTTATACATACCTACCAGGACAGAATCTCTTAAAATTTTTGTTATTTTCAGAATCTGTACTTTTCAGTGATATATAGTTTCCCATGATTTCTTTTTAAGTAGCTTGGTAGAAGGATTTTTAAAAGCACCATATTTTGTTGACCATAATCTTTGGTTTTCCAATTCTGATTCACTTCCCAACTATAATTTTAAAACAACATCTTTGCTGACAAGCATGATTTCAGTTGCAGCATTTCTGGCACATCGTTGTTTTTGGAACACTATGAACTTTCACTACTGAGACTAACTCTATTTGACAATTCACAGGGAGCACAAAGACTGTTCATTTCAATTTTTCCCACCTTTTCTCAATGCCTTCTGTGGGAGGTCTGGTGAAATATGTAAAATTGCTCAGTTTTCAATTTGTAACAGGAGGTCACTGACTTGCAAGGTTAGCATCTTGTTAAATCAGTGAAATGTTCACACAAAATGAAGATTTGAAAGGACACAGTCCTATTAGGGAAGACACATTATTTCCAGTATTCCAAGTGGAAGTTTCTAAATACTCTGCATAAATCAAACCTCAAATATTTAGTGTCTTTTATAAATGTGTTAGATGAATGCAAAAATTTTGAATTTTTTAACCCCAAAAAAGGTTTACGTTATATTTTGCCAGGTTATAAAAACTGTACATTTCTTCAGAGAATTAACCACACTGATGCCATTCACATGCAGACTCTTCTTACACAAGATGGAAATGTTGTGTTAAACACAGTTTAATGCTGTGCTATTGAAAAAAATTTGCAAGAGACATAGTGGCCAAACATTTTTATCAGGTGGTACTCTCCATTTAAAGCTTTTGCTTTACAAATAAAATGTTTGACTGGGGTTATCTCTGCAGTACACTTAGGCAACCAACCCAGGTGTGTCAATACAAATAAACAAATCACACGATGCAAAGAAAGGAAAAGATGACATACCTCAGTTTTCAGGTTTGACACTAACTGGCCCTGCTCCTCACACTGCTGAAGCAACTGCCACTTGGCTGTTTTTTCACTATCCAGAATCTGCATCACATGAATGTACTTCTTCTCCAATTCTTGTTTCTCTGATTGAACTTCAGCAAAACTACATGCAGAAAGGAATTGTTGATAGTAATGATTTAAAGGGGGTGTAAGATATGATGTGATCTGGGATATCTAGCCCTGTGAAAACATTACAGAGAATTGCATGTGGAAAGAAGTTACTACTTGTAGTTGCTCAACTTACCTAGATTTTGTGACCGCTTCAATCCATGCGGTGCATTCCTGGCCACTATTGACTCTGAGAACAAACTGCTGCTGCCCATCAACAGTTGGTATGCTGATACAAAAGCAGTTCTAAATTCAAAGAGAACAGACAAGTTAAACTAACCTAACCATTTATGACCAGCTATTAGTGAATTTTGCCCTCTTGTCTCTCCATGGTACCTTTGGTTCTTCTGCATAACCCTTTTCCTGGATTCTCTTTGCACAGAAATGAATGAAACTACTCTCCCAAAGTAAGTTTGTTTGTAAAACTTACCCCAGAAAAAAAAAACTTAATTAAGTAAAAGACTTGAAACTCTCCACAGTGCCACCAAAAGGGACACCAGAGAGTGTTTCCTGTTGACAGGTGGCCACGGTGGGAAGGAAGGACATATTTAAAATGCCACCTGTTTTCATTTTCCAAAGGGTAAAAAGTTTATTTAGCAAAAATCCTTAATTTAGCATATATAACAAGTTATAATTAAAGAAATACAATAAAAAATTATTGTACAGAAGAGTACAATTAAACAATGTACAGTAATTATATCGTATTGTACTACATTTGCACTTGTTTAAATAACAGAAAGTCATAAAATAGCGGTCAAGCATTGTTTGTTTGAATGAGCTTTACATGGTTTGAGCCCTGATCGTTGTGCTATGATTAACTACCCATTTTCCCTGGGGTACTTTTCAATTTACAGATTCAACATGCTTCAGTAGTTGTTGTAGATGGAGAGGAGTGGCTGTCGAAAAAAAAAGTCAACCCAAGTCTGCACTTATGTCGTTGTAGGCTGGTGGCCTTCATTTAGAAATATAACTGAATCAGGTCAACACTAGATGCAAACATGTGCAAGGCATAGATAATTTTATATCCCGTTCACAACTTGGTCAATACCTGGCCATTTTCTGTAGGCCAATTTCATCTAGCAGATATGACATAATTTAGTCGTTGTTACTGATTTGGAGATGTATCCATTTGATGAGGTCAATACAGATTCTTGAATGTACATGTATGGCCACTTTTAAAGGGGTGGCCATTATCAGTGGTTCAAAAGCACCCGGGCAATGCAAGTGATTTGCAGGTACAGTCAAATGAATAACACACTAGACTATTACATAACAAAGATATTAGACGTTTACACTAAACCAACAATCCAGTAATTAAGAATAAATTACAAACACGAATGAGATTAAGATACAATCAAAACTGTTGATGGTGTGGGTGGGAGGGAAACTAAAACTTTTTTAAAGCTAGAAAAAAACTTGTTGTTTTCTTGCTTGCTCGATTACTAAAAACACGTGCACAGATACCTAAGCGGTAATACTAAAGTAATTTTGCAATTAAAACACATTGACGTGGTGAATGGCGATTGGCTCTACCCAGGTCTTATGACTTATATGCTAAACAAATTGCTCAATCTTAAAGAAAAGGGAAAATACTAATTTCCGCCCTATGTGTACCCATCCCAGGCCTCTCGGTTATCGATGTCTAGATTCATATTATTAGAGATTAATATTCACAGTAAAAATAGGTTGTAAAATTAAAACTAAATATGTACTTTGTAGAGCTAAAAATGTTAGTTGCGTCAATGAACTTACTGATTGTTCTTCTTCTAGATAAAACTTTCATAGTAAACTACAAAATAGCACCACTTTTCCAAGTATAAGATTCTTATTCAAATTTCTGGACCGCAATAAAGCCACAACAAAATGTATTCAACCTCAAATGCTTCCTGGGCAAAATAAAAAGCATATTTGTTCATTTTATGTATGAATAATAAATAATCGATTGCAATTATCTCTGTTCTTGTTTTCATGCCATTTGCAAATGTCAACAGAAAATTGTCAAACCGAATTTTTGAGAAAACGGTTGAACGAAAAAAAAAAACTACTCTAAGCGAAAAAATAGAAAGCACCCTAAGTACTCAATGAAAATTAAGGACCACAAAAATAGGCACGGAAAAAGATAAATATATTCATGGAAGGGATGTTTTCAAATTGATTTTGGGTGCTTCTCTGTATTTTGTTGACAAATTTAGCGAGAAGCTAAAAGTGCGCATCATATCTCATGCATCGCCCACACAATACTTGACTTTTGTGTTTCCTGCAATATCAAAAGCGGGTATGAGGGGAAAATATTTTGACAGCAAACGAAAATCGTCGACGATTGCCTTTCCTTGGATCGTGAAAAGGCTTAAGTCTAAGCTGATCCGGAGCTCACTTTATGGCAAGGTGGAAATTAAACCACTTGGATGAAAGGCTCTCTTTTTTTAAAGACACCAATACGGTCTCAGACACAACTTTTCATGCTTTCTATTCTGAAGCCCGAAGTTTGAGAAATGGATCCAAATCATAACCACACGCGAGGCACGAACCGATGGGGAGAAAAAAAACAATTTGACCACGTACCCCAAAGGGGAGGAACATTTACACAATACAACAACAAGAAGGAGGTCAAGCAGAACACAAAGATTTAAAAACATTCGACAGTCATACCTGATTTTCGGTTTCCTTTAAGTTGGTCAAGCACAATCTCTCACAACTGCAATGCTCCAAGTATATAACTCCACAAAGTTTTGTGGAATCCTCGCTCTCGAAATAAAACAACAAATTTTGGTACAAAGCAAACCACCGCTGAAGCCATTTGCCAGCGTTTTCGTGGTTTTTCATGTACACACGACCGCTTATTGAGTAGTCAAGTCGAGCCAGTGAAGCCAAATAGTTGAGCTGCTCTTCTCCGATCCTTACAGAAGTAGGCATAGTGACCCTACTAAATTAAGCGCACGAAAGATTCATAGCTGACTAAGCGTAAAATATGTTTGCCAAAAGATGAACTCGGTCTCCCGGTGATTCCCAATTCGGAAGTGCGATCAAAGGTAGTTTTCTTTGGACGACGAGCATAAGTTCACTCTCAGAACTATAAAAATTAATCCCTCCACGGACAGAAAAGGTTGCTATTTCATAACACAACGACAAACTATTGCCATTTTAAGTCGTTTGTTGTTGAAAAATTATAAAACGCAATATTTTCAGCATAGATCAATTCGCGCGCATAACAAATATTACTACTAAGGGTAGGGAGGGTGGGAGAGGATTCTCGCTCTGTTCCCTGGGGTCTGGTCTGCGGTCGACTGTCATGAGGTGATTGCCTTCTTGCCTTCTTCTGTTGTTTACGTCTGTCTTGAGGCCTAAAATTGCATAGCTTTGGACACGATTTCTTTCTTGGCGACTTGTGCAAGCCTTTTTCCTCACTTTGGTGTATCAGAACGGTTCAAAAAGGCAAAAACCATAAGCAGGGGACTTTAAAGCATGACTACGTAAAGTTGATTTGTCTTGGCAAACTCGTCAGTTTCCCAGTAGGCTGCAGCATTGGCAAATACGCCATATAAATTCAGACTAACCCAAGACCAATTGGTTATAATAGGAATGAATAATGAACATTGCCCAACTACTAACATCAAGTACAGATAACATAGAAGACAATGAGTTCTCATATTCTCGAGTGCATCATTTGTTGACTTCCAAGGCAAGGCCACCGCAGTCTGTAAACAATAGCGGAAACAATTCTCACAGCTTCACTAATTCAAAGTTTGTGGTGAGTATCTTTCTTTTTGCAGCCCTAGCCGAGGAAAGTAAATTTGAATTTGTTCAGGTGCTGAAGCTTTTTAAATTTTATTCACAAAATTAGACCTACAAAACTCTGCTGACGTAGATAACATTATAGTCTTCTTATCTCGCAGATAAAAAAAATTAGCCGTTTTGCATTGCAACAATGAAGTGGGTACTGATCTTTTCTCTGATTTACTTTTGCAGGACCCATTTTGTCCTTCATATAGTAACATGGGTATCGAAATCAGGAATTTGCAGAAGGCTCTCAATTTTCCTTCAGATACTCTGTCTAAAACCAGCACTCTGACTACAAATCTCTGGAGTAACCAAAATAGAACTTGTCAGGTGTTCTTAACAGATAGTGGGTACTCATCAAAGGCTGATGGTCAAGGCAATGAAGATCTAACACAAAGTGTTTTATCCTCTAGTGATAAAATTAGTGGAGCTCAAGGTCCAGCTACTTTCTGTTTGGAAAACTTTTGTGACTCAAAAATTAACTCAAATACTGACCACTTTGACTGTAGGGGGCATCACCTGAATTCCACCAACTTGTTTGAAAAAAGCTTGAACACAAAGACTCACCGGTTTGACTCTAGGGGACATCACCTGAATTCCAGCAACTTGTTTGAAAAAAGCTTGAAGAGTTCACTGGATGATAGTGAGACAAAGAGAATTTTGTTATTGGAAAAGCTCAGGGAAGCTCACCTTACAATTCAGGTAAATGCCATCTCAATCATTACTATAGGTAACTACATATGTATTGCAAAGGAAAGTTACTGGGGAGCTGAGGATTTTTCTAGGTAGTTGCTGTGTATACCATTTTAATGAATAAATGTGTATTATGTGCATGCCAAACCATAAGTATGGTTCTTGCCCATTTTTGTCTCCCTTGTTAGTAGTTTAAATGTACTTGTAATGAGCAGTTTTCTATGAGCCCAGGATATTTGCTTATTTAAACTGAAACACTGCAATATCCCCTCATTTAAAAACAAAAAAAAGAGTGATCACCCAATGATGTTTGACGAGTATTACTATCATTTCAGCCTGTTGTCTTAGGCAGTTTTATCTTGAAAAAGTAAGAGGTTTTTTCAAGGCTTTCAGCTTATTACTATTAACACAATAGCGTTATTACACAGAAATCTTAGAATATCACTTTTACCAGTAATTTCATTTTAACACAGTCATGTAAACTTAGATTCACACACCCTATTCAAGGCTGAGATGTGTTAAAAATTTTTTAATGCAGAGCTTCTTAAAAATTTTAACTACATTACTTTGTACAACTGTAGGTCAATTTTTATTGATGTAAAGTCAATAACTTTGTTCTCATTAATAGAACCAAGCAGAAAAACTGGCAGGAACAGAAAGTGAGATCTGCCTTTTACGTGGTCAGCTTAAAAGCATAGCAATTCAACAGGAGGTGTGACTTCATGTTACTCTGTAACATTCAACTAGTGTGGTTTTTTATTCTCAAATGCATTTCAATTATTCTGTTGCTCTTACAGTCCCTTTGTGGTTTTCCCAACCAGTAAGGCCAGGTATTATATATCATGTGGATCAGTCTCACAGGTAGTCGCAAATCTCTGTGAGTTGTGAATGGTGGGTATGGTGTACTTCCTGGAAAAATGGCTGCCCCAGAATAACCACCTCCCTTAATTAGGGTTGTGTTTGGAACAGCAAAGTTAATAAGTGCAACCCAAAAATCAGTAGGTCTTGCAATCCTATTATTGCGCTTATTTGGAAAATTCTTTCACAAGTTGCAATCCCTTATACATTAGGTACCTTGAGGAAACCAGATATAAATTCTTTCAAATGTGCAGATTAAGACAGAGAAGAGGAGTAGCCCCTCCTGCTAGACTTAGGTTGAGAATGGGTCAGTATCTTTACATTGTGTCGTAACAGACAAGAGTCCTTATCTCTGTTAACTTTCCCAGGGACTGCAGGAAGAGATAGATTGTTTAACCATGGAAAAGAAGACCCTTGAGTTTTTCAAATCAGAGAGCTTAAAAAATCATGAGGCATTTCTGATAAGGTTTGTACTACTCATAACCAAATAGTGTTTACAAAAAATACATGTAGTCCATGTTTCAAGTGTGCAAAGCTGTTTAAATAAAAAGAAATTGCAAGTGAAGTCTTGAGAAAGTTGCTTATTTTGGTTGCTTCATTAAATATACAGTCACTAACATTGAAAATGGAAAATACTTTCAATCCTCTCCTGTGATTTTTGTTGGAAAAGTATGGACATCTTTTGCCAAGTTAGCTCGTGATGAGAAGGATTTGCTGGAAGTAATTCTGATATTGACAAACATTTTGTCTTATTCTTTCATACCACCCCAGAGTGAATGATTTAGAGAGGGAATTGAATGTTTTGACTGCAACTCACAAAACCTTGCAAGATGAGGCTAAAAAGAAAGGAACTGGTTTACAGAAAGCAAATAGTTATGCTACCTTACAGGAAGAAAATGACAAACTCCAAAAGGTGCACCCATCCTCTCTGTCTTTCTCTTTTGTTAGTGTATGTCTATCTCTCTGTCTGTGTCTGTCAATTGATATTTAGTAATTAATATTAACATTTTTAACATCTAGTAGTTATATGTAAAAGTTTTTGCTGTGAAGGGCTGTCAAATGAGTAATAATTATTCTTACAATCTGATTGGTGGCTGAGGGAAGGTAGTTTGAGTGGAATTGAAGGTATACAGCCATAAAACTTGGCAGGAGAGTCTAGTTGACTTAGGCAACAATATTTGCGCTGGATCAAAGCGAAGGAAAATACATTCACAATCAAAGTCAATTTTCAATTGGATTTGCTTAGAATAAAACTTCTCCATCAAAACTGGGAAAATTCTTTTACAACATTAAAACATTCAGCCATTCAAAACCTATACTTACATCATTATGGAAAACTTATGATTGATCATTTCAAGGTCATTCAAACCAATTCTCAGCTTCAATGCAATTGAACGATTATTGACGGTTAATGTGTAGTAATAGCAGCTGTAACTGAGCTTTGTTACTAATGGTATATATATAAAAAAACTTTCTGTGGGACATTATATGTGAGTAGAACCACATGATACTGTGATGTATAGTCTTTTAAACATGAATTAATTAATACATGTATGCTGTATCTTTGAGATAGATACAGTGTAATCTCATTTATAAATGTAAATTTAAAGTGTACTCAACATAGTAGTCATAGGTATAATTATGTAATATTTTTTACATAAGTTAAGTGTAAGAATTATATGATTTAATTTTTGTAGGATTATAAAAAACTTTTACAAGAACATGCATCCATTAGACTTCAATTGTCAGCAAGAATTAAAAATGCCAAAGAGGCAAAGAACAAACAGCATCAACTCAAACAGGAAATTATACAGCTGAGAATGGTAAATATATTTGGTGGTTTTTTTTTTTTGGTTAGTTTTACTGCATTGTTGACTAGGTCAGGGTAGTCTAATAAGACCTGCTAGTCATAGAGCCAAACTTTTTAAATTAAGTTACACTCAAAAGTGTGATGATGTATGTTCCTGGATATGCAGACATATGCTTGCTCAAGTTTTCTTTAATGGCTGGCAACGTGAGGTGTCAACAGCTAAATTTAACACCTCTTCACCCTGCAGACAATGCTCCACTCCCATCAGTGTTGAGTTTTTTTCAGTATATTTTCATACCATGATAATGAATGTGCCCATGAACATATTATAATTTGTTTGAAGCTACTATGTTATAAAGTTTTTAAGATCAATTAATATGTTACAACTTTTTACCCTTAAATGCCCAAATGGCAGAAATGGTGTCACTAAGAATTTGTGTTTTGAAAAACAAATAAATGCACTCTTTGCATGTTGGGCTGGAATTCTAAAATTCTCAAGGCTTTGGATCACTCATTTCAGTCTCTAGCCCTGATATACAAAATAGTTTGTTAATTTGTTTAAATGTTGTACCACTAAAATGCTTTTATGTGTATGCTATTTGAAGGAAAGAGACTTACAATGTGGAAAAGTGAGTATTCTTGAGGAGGAGATCCTAAATCAGCAGCAAAACCATAACAACATGATTAAGGAACAGGAAAGACTGATGAAAGATAAAGCAGAGCAGGACCAGAAAATTCAAAGGGAAATTCATGATAGACTTTGCTTGAAAATGGTAAAGGGTAACTGTTAAGTGTAAATTATCACATGATTTTGAGTGCAATTTGGTATAAATCAGCACAAGTAAATTTTTCAAAGGCAAAAGGGAAAAACAAGGTTCAGTAGCTTTTAGTTTGCTCCTAGATAACAAGGTTAGTAACATATTTATTACATTCTTGGGGTCAAATAGATGGGAAAGATTTCAGTTCAAAACAATTTTTGAATTCAGCAGGCCACTCAGGGAAATGGGACCTGCCAAATTTACTAATCATTATTTACAAACTAATTTAGAGATGTATGTAACACCAGGTTCATGAAGACTTTTGAAGAGCCAAAGGTCACTTGTCAACAACTTGTCGTGCTGAACTCTGTGTGTGGGAAATGCTTACTGATCAAATAAGACCAGAGATAACAGAAAATCAGCTGTGATTAATGATGATTTATTGACCATAATTGAAAGTAAACTGAAATATAATGCAGTGAATCAACTTATTACCAAATGACAACTGATAACAAGATAATGCAAATCACGAATCAATAATGGAGAACATTCCGATCATAATTGCAGTGTAACAAACGTTTCTAGCTGATCTTTAAAGACATAGGGAATCAATAATAGTGAGAGAATATGTTTACTTCTAATTGTTCTAAAGCAATATCAATAATATAAATGAACACAGTTATAAAATGCTTGAGGCCATAAAATTGCTGGAGATAACAGGCTATAGAAAAACTAAATGGGTCCTTTGAAAAACTGGGCGCTGCCACTTGGAGCTACCTACTTGACTTGTTCGGGTACCTTTGATTTAGTTGGTTGAAAAGTGACTTTAGGGAATAAAGGCTATAAGTTCAAACTTTCAGTACTTCAGAATTAGGGGTAGAAACAGTCTATACTTGCACTCTTAATAGCCAAGGGTGACTTAAACTTAATTCTACCAAAAACAGGTATGGTAGCTCTACTAAAGCTAAAAACTAGAACTACTGAAAGAAGGCGGGTAACAACATCTATGTATATGTATACGTGTTAAAGCTTATGACATAATTGCTAACTAAAGTAAACAAAATTGACAAATTTGTGAAGAGAATTAAGAATAATGTGCTAAGAATTAAGAATTAATTAATGAAAATTAAGAATAATTAATTAAATTAAGAATAAGTGCTATGGGCTAAGCTACCTTCCCGTATTAGGACTTTGCATTCACTAGCGGGTTTTAAGAGGGCAGTCAGAGGATTGGATTTGGAAATGCTTATGGGCGATGGTGGCTGTGTGGACTACTTGGTTTGCAGCGCATGATTCTTAGTTATGTTTTTGTTTTTGTTTTTTTTTTTTTGTTAGGCTCAGATTTTCTCCCCCCCCCCCTCCCCCCGTCTTTTATCGTCTGGGAATCAAGGTGCCCTGGCCTAATTCTGCTGACCCCAAATTTTCAGTCTCATTTAATTATAAACATAATTTAATTAATTATTTATATTGCGAATGGATGAATTACAATCGTGAGTGTGTGGGTAGAGAGAGTGAGCGGGTTTTAGAGAGAGATTTACTTATTATATATGTAAATTATTTTTATATTAATATTTAGCTATTTATTAGAGAGTGGTAGAGAGAGTGAGCTAGTTTAGAGATAGAATCTGTACATATCTTACATGTAAATTATTCGAATATCAATATTTTAGCTATTTGCTACTTTATTTAAACTATTTTGTTGTGTCCTTACTTAGTGGTTTCATTACTGCTATTTTTTATAATTGACGCATGAATAAAGTTATTATTATTATTATTATTATTATTAATCATGAAATGTGGAAGCCTCGATTTAATGTTTATTACAATATGTTACAAAGTTATTTATTTGTTTGGTTATTTATTTATATTTTCACAACATGCACTTCCAAATATACTTGTTTGGAGGCTTATAATGGCCTATTCATTTTGGGTTTTAGGTCAATGATCTTCTTAAAGAGGAATCATCAATTGTGAAAGATGCGTTTCAGAAACTTGAAGGGTTTGTTAACTCTTTGGAGCAGAGTTCAAAAAGCATGAGTTTAGAACTGGAGCAATGCAGACAGGAGAACCTGAAAAATAATACAGAAGAGGTAATGTGGAAGAAGGCATTAAAATTTACCAGTTTTTGAAATAAGATGTTGATGTGCAATGTTAGTGGTGTTGATAATTTCACCTCAGTTGGGTATAGTGTAAACAGGTAATGGTGTTCCTGAAGTAAGACTATTTTGTGCCCTTGAACCTTGAAAAATTTGTTATGAAATTTTGTTTTTCATACCAATCCCAAATAGTAAAGAGGATACTGTAAAGCTATTTATTGCTAAGTCTGTAAATCAATAATTGTCAGGATAATTACTTTTCATATTCAACCATATACTCTGTTAAGGGAGGTTTTCAAGCAAGATCAGTTTAAATGTTGGAAATCTTTGTTGAAAACTAACCTTTGCCAGATTGGAATGTGTGTTAAATTCCTAGTGTAATCTATAATTTCATCCTAAATTTCTGCTTTATTTAAAACAAGGTTTACAAATGTTGTACATCTGACAAGTGAATTGCATGTTCAGTAATAGATCACAGATGAAGGCAAAATGCGGGGAGAACAAAAAAGGAGCACACAAGGGCTAACCTAGTATATACGACACTGAATGATGTTCTTACTATATTATCATAGGTCTTGGTATATTATCATAGGTCTCGGTCTTGAAATGCTGCCCTTGGCCTATGGCCTTGGGCAGTATTTTCAAGACCTCAGTCACAGTTTTTCACCATACGGACCTCCCAGCCGGCAAATAACATATATATATATCATATTGTACAGTACCATGTTATATACATGTATGGTATTGTATGATCACTAACAGCAGTGATTTTGGTTTTTTATTCTGTTCTGTTTTGTCAAACAAGATAAATGAGAAACAGCTGAATGAGGAATTTTTGCTAAAGATTGCAAGTGCCAAGAGTCATTGGGAAGAATTAGAAAAGTATGTTTTTCTTCTGCTTTATGCAACATTGGTGACCTGATTACACTTGAAACACCCGTATATGCAAATTTTTCTACTCTATCTATCTATTGTGATGACTGAAAACTTTGAGCTGAAAGATTACCTTACTACTCTTCACTTCTACCTTTCCCCATTGAATTTCCTGGAAAGAATTACTGATCTCTGATACAATTTCTTAAACATTTCTGTGCCAAAACAAGGGTGTGGAAAGCTATGCGTGCCAGCAAGTTAAGTTGTAGGAAAGGGAAAAGCAAAGATCCTGCCTTTGTCAAGAAAATCTTTTCACTTGCAGCCAAATTTCATCTCTGAAGGAAAGAAATATTATGCTGAAGAAGGAAAAGGAAGAAAAAGAGAGGCAGCTGCAATTAATGAAAATGTGCCAAGAGACTATTACAAAACAGGTGTGAGCATTCAAGAATTGTGCTCTAAAATAGATTCAGTAACCAATATTATAGTAATATGGCAAGTTATTCATGAGGTCAATCTAAGTTTTCTGATGCCCTCAGTTGTTTTTGTACAGACCTCTCAGCAAGGTCCATTAACTAAAACGATCACAGGCTAATGTTCCTTAGTGCAGTCCTCATGCTCAGTTAGAATGGAGTTCTTATATTCTATGAGAATTGCTATCAATATGAAAAATATTTTTCAAGCAAGCTTTCAGGACCATATCTGCTTTATAAATATTTTAACCAAGATATTGACTAAACTATACATTGTTGTCTTGCCCTCCCTTTCTTCTGGGCCATCCCCCACAGCACAAATGCTAAAATTTGTGAGCCTTTCCCCCTCTAAAATGACCCACCCCTCCTTTGGTAGTTTGGAAATATATTTTGTGCACCAGCTACGTCATGTTGGTAATACATGTAAAAAATAACATGCTTTTGACTGGCTGAAAACAAGTGCATTTTCCATGTAACACAGATGCAAAGTTGTAACACAAGTGCAAATTACAAATAGTGCTTGTGCTGTCAAAATTTTGTCTGTCTTGACTTTCTGTGATGCTTTTTTCATGTAAATTGTTCATAAGCAATACCATGATTTCTCTTGTAAAAATTGCAGTTGCCCTATTGGCTCATGCAGTTTTGTTGTCTTTGAAAAATGTACTTGTGCATACACCAAATGGCGCATGATATAATTTTATTACCTAATTACCCAAATAGTACATAAAAAGTACACATAACCTAAATTGTTAATGGTACTCCTTCCATTCTATTACATTTCCAGTCAGTCCTTCTTTGTAAAAACATTATCCCCTTATTATACATGGTGGGAACAGATCACTCTTTAGGGTCTCCTAATAGAGAGAGACAGTGGTTAAGAGATGCTTAAAAGTTTATGATGACTAAATATTTCTACTTCTTTCCTTTTTTCATTCTGTAGCAAGCATCTAAGTTTAAAGAGCTAAAAGAAGAAAATGAAAAACTTCAATGCAGTGTCTGTGTGGTCAGGTATTCCTTGTATTTTTTCTCTTTTTCTGTGTTTTTCTGTATGAATTTTCTGAAAATGTTTAAAGCATAGTTCATTAAATACAAACTTCTTGCTTGTTTAGAAAATAATGTGTGATTTATCAAACTAATAATAGGAAAAATTTTGTTCATGTCCTAGGCAGTTAGGTCTTTTTAAAAAATTAAATCATATATGATTTTCTTATATTCACAGTCAGAATTGATTGAGTTATTATGAATGACAAATGACTCTTAGAAAAAAATGCAAATAGTCCAAAACCTACTGTTAAAACATTCTTAATCCTATTGTTCAGAAATTGCACAATGGATTGGCTCTGCCCTGTTTCAGCAGGGTTATATTGTGTATGTAACTGTATTAGTTATTATAATGGTTTGAAATTGCTAACTTTTGCTTTGAAATAGGAAAGCAAATGATGAACTTCAAAAGCAACTGGAATATCGGAAAAATGATTTTGATGTGTTGAAGGTATCTTTTCGTTAGTTTGAATTGATATATACAGAATGGGATGAATTAAGCTGAGTGTTTGAAAATAAATTGAAATAAAACAAGCGATGAAAGCCTTGATGTACAAGTAACAAAAGCTGTTCTAAGGTTGCTGTATGCCTTCCAATAAAGGTGACCCCCTGGAAAAAATTTCAGGAACACTATTTAGTTAAAGGGTTTTCTTTTAGTTTAGCTAATAATAATATTGACCATAATTGTTTATCACCTTCTTGTAAACTTGACAAAACTGATTTTCCTTCCTTCAGAATTCATCCAAAGAGTCAGTTTCAACAAGTGAAAGGTGGGATATACACCTCATTGTTAACTAATTAATTTTTTTTTGAAAGAACTTGTAAATTTGCCATATCAGCATGTAAGAATAATAAACCAGTTTCCATTTCCAGTCGTCTTTTGGTGTTTCTATCACTTGAATCTGAGCTTATGGGATTCCCAGGTCCGAAAAGCAATGGTGCCTTAATATGCCATTTCTGTACGAAATGTATGGTAAGGTTCAGCACAAGGAGACTGACTTTTTTGGTGTTTCCTTTTAGCTTTACATAAGTGTCTTTAAATGTTGTGCTGGAAGATCTCAGTCTACATAATTTAAAAATTCCAACATATTGAATTATTTCTCTCCCGTTTGCAGTGACAAAAATTGTTGTATTCCCTTCTTGGAAGAGGAGGTGGACAAAATCAAAGAAAACGTAACAAGGTGATTTTTCTCTTTATCTTTAACCAACTTGTTTGACTTTTGATAGCTTATTGTGGCTATGATCAATCAAACAACAGTTTAGAGAATGTCTTTTAAGGAACATCATTAGCATGGATGAATAAAAGATGTCCCTGAAAATAATGGTCAGCACACAATTGAGACTATTCCCATCTAAACATTTGCTTCATATACTCCTTGACAATTGAGAGATCGACTCATCAGCAATAGTTGTAAATTAGCCAATTGGATCACCAACTGAATGGCTTGAATTACAGTTCGATTTCAACTCATCTGTAAGGGTAATTTTTCCTTGAATCTCATCCCTTGGTCAGCATATGATTAATTCTATTTAGTTGGTATCACATTCCTAAAATGGAATGAAGAACCTACTAAAATGTGTCTAGCTCCCAACACAGGGCTTCGTAGTTCAGTTGGTAATGATACCCAACTTTATGTGGGAGGCACAGCTTTGAATCCTGAGGAAGCCTAAATTTTTTTCCGACTTGTTTTTTACTAAAAATTGCAGTTTATCTATGAGGATTATTTCTTCACTTCATTGAGGTTTTGATTAAGCCATATTATGTTTGGTCAGTTAGTGGGATTACTTTTCTCTCTATACATTTTGCAGGAGAAAATAAACATGATTCTACTTAACACTAAATATACACTAGGTAACTTGACATAGTTGCTTGTTTATACTGCCCCTCATTTCATTGGTTCATGATTCAATCATGGTACAATTACCTGGCAGAATCATCCGTATAATCACTTGGGTTGCACTTGAACTGTGCTTATTGGCATTATGTCTTTGTTACTTACTTAAGATTCACTCTTCTCCCAAAGGCTAGAATCTGAAAAAACTGAGCTGATAAAGGAGATTCACAAGTTGCAAGAAGAGCAACAAGCATGGTCAATTCAAAGGAGTGAACTTAGAATGACACTGGCCGAACTTAGTGCAGAAAGTAGCCAACTCAGAGATCAATTGAAAAAAAGGGTACTGTTAATGTCTAATTTTTTAGATTCATAACTCTGTCAGCTTCTCATCCAGTGAGATTCTCAAGTCTACTAAAGTGATCCTGTGAAATATATATTCTTGTAGCCTGCTGTGAATGGGATATTCAATGTCAGAAGAGATCTTGAACTTGAAAAGGAGGAGGCAGTAAACAAGGCCAAAGAGGAAATGAAAGTAGGCACATCTCCTTGACAAATCTATTACCAATCAGAAGTAATGCTTCACAACACACATATACTGATCATTTGTAATATTCATTTTTATGGTTGTGTAGTATGCAATTTTGACAAAGTAACGTGCTTGAAATTGTGTTTTATTACATTATTATATCAAACAGTGAACAGTCTTTAATATCTGTTTACTTTGTCATCCAATCAGAAAACTTAATTGTGATGAGCCCATTTTATGTTATGATATACAATTCCAAAAGGTGTCTTTCGATGAAGTTTGTCTTGAATTGAAGACTGTGAAGTCAGAACTCAGTAAAGTGTGGGAAATGCTTGAAATTAAGGTAATTTTTTTTACATGTACTTACAGAGTTTTTTTGCGTTCCTTTTTCCTCGTTGTAAAAGTTTGCTACCACAAAGAGCAACCCGGTTATTCATTTTATTGCTTTAAATGTGGTATCCATACTACTCTGTATGAGACAGAATTTGATCTCTCCAGATATTTTAATAGAGACCTGGTGTACAACTTAGTGCCGTGACTTTTTGTCTCACCTAGGATAAGCAGTTTGGGGAACGGTCACAGGAGTTGGAATATGAACATCAACAGGTACTTTAGTGAAGTCACACGATCGTAGCTCTATCTAACAGATATGTAAACCAAGAAGACGCTCTCGCGAGTGTGAAACGAAAACAGTGGAAGGGGGTAGGGGAGTAGATTTGAGGTTATCCTAAGAAGGGCAGGTGACAGAGCCTCCAAAAAATTTAGTAAGAGGAGTAAGTTGAAATGAAAGTAAAGATACAGTTTTAATCCTATAAAATTACATACAAAGCGTAACCAAATAGCGGTCGCCTCCAATAGGGTGACGTTGGAGATACCCGTTTGGACAGTCTGACCGGTGTTTCCTTGTGGAGCCTTTGTTTATTCGTTGGTTTATTTCCCTGTATTGTATGAATCAATTTGACGTAATTAACGATTTTATGGGTTTTCAAAGATACTTAAAATCGTAGGAAGTAAATGGGTTTGACAGTTAAGTCAACTAGGTAACTGCTTGTAGACGGTTGCATAGTGTCGGATTTATTCAGTACCAAGAGATGATCAAGCCCGGTTCTCTCATTAACACTACATCACTAGATATTTTGTTTCTTTTAATGCAAAATAGCACTGTTTCTCTATCAATCATCTATTCTAATCTTTTATAGGTGGAAAACTTTTATCAAATTTTTATTAGGCTAATAAGCCAAGAAATTTTCGTCGGTAGGATCGGATTTGTTACCCCAAATTACTTCTTTTGTGATAAGTATTCAATTTGTGCCATTTTTTTTCTTTTGTTCTTTTACTTGTTGTTGAAAGGTTTTGACTCAAGAGAATAACAGTATGAATGACGCGCTGATAAAGAAAGTAACCGACTTTATTACTAAAGGTGAAATACTATAAACATAAATTAAATTGAAGACGTAAACACTAATTTGATATATAACTTTCACTTTCGGTTTGATTTGCTTAAACTGTTATCAAGAAGTCTGAGCTGTAAAACACACTGGAAAGAAATTGTTCAAATAGTTGGGCTGGCTTTTAAACTAATACTTTGTAACCAATAAACGCTTTCCCTGCTACCATCGATGACAATTAAACGCAAACTATCAACAGACGCAAAGCTTCAACTGATGCAACTAAAACTGTGGTGAATTTTAAAGTCGTAGTATATCATTCAAAAGCCTAACTTCAAACAATATTTGAATTTTGAGTTAAATCTTCTCATTTTAAAATGGGCAATTCGATTAAGGCCTCGAGCTACTGTGTTTCTCTTTTATTCCAAGCTTTCACCGATCGACGGCATCGTCAGGGAATGTAACGAAAATATCCACTATGCGTGGCATAAAAGCGATGTAGGGGATATGACTGGTTACTATACATCAGTGTATATTCTGGTCATTCGTATCACCTAAATCGCTTTTATGTCACGCATACTGGAATATTTTCGTTACATTCCCTGACAATGCCGTAGATCGGCGGAAGCTTAAAATAAAAAAGAGCTACAGCAGCTTAATGCTTCAATCTAATCGTTCATTTGATTAACGTGCTACATAAGGAAAACTTTAAACGTTTTCTAGTTTATGTTATGCGACGGTCTTAAATTAAGGCGACGACAAAAGGATTTACAGTCGAGCCTGTATTAACAGATCACTGACGGGGAATGGCGGGATTTTATTAGTGGTATTATAATAAACGATAGGGGTATTATAATAAACGATAAACAACGCCACTTTATGCCATAATTTACCACTTAATCCGACTTACTTTGATTTTGGAAAAGAAACATTGATTAAAAATTACTTGAAAGATAATTAGTAGTTTTATTTGAGTGGTCCTGCTTTCAGCGACCGTTCAATACAGGTGGAGGACAATAAAAACAGGCCGTTGGGACTTAGTAATGAGTGAAAATTACAATGATAAGGGGAAAGAAATTCAGAACTTTGACAACTGACTGCTTACTTCAGGGTGACTGCTTAATACGGTGCCGTTTAATACAGGTTCGACTGCCAAATATTGCTTAAACTATTGAACGAGAGCAGTTTAAATTGGATGCAACCCAGGGCACGTTCTTTGAGCATTACACATTACATTAACCTGTAAGTTTCTGTTTTTGTTTGTATTGTCAAGATACCCGGTCTTTACCACCGGCCAATACAGTAAACAGCGGACTGGTCAATTCCGTTTCCTTTTTGACCAAGCTGATACACGCACTAGTTAAGCAGGAGTCTGGCAAATTGCGAACGGAAAATATTGCTGCCCATGCTATCAAAACAATTATTAGACACACCCTTTTTGTTTCCTGGTGACCAATTAAAGTATTCTTGCTTCAATTTCAGTCACAGAAATGGGCTGAAAAGCTGACGCAATTACGAAAAGACTATGCCGACCTTGCAGCTATCACATCAAGCAGGTCAGAATTAACCCAAATTAGTTTTTGCATAGGTAACGCGGAAACAATTTTAAAATACCACATCATCGACTTCACAATGTAATAACCTGATATCCTCTCACTGTCTTTCAGGAGCCAAATGATTTGTACTTTAAGAGACGAGTTAGCTCAAAGATGCTTGGAGATTATAGAGCTTGAGTCTGCACTTTCATCCTCAACTCAGCAGGTGATACTGAACTCTAAAACAGAACTGGAGAACTTATTTGCTTTTCGAGTAAGATATAGTATTCACGTTCATTTGTGGCGGCGGTGCTTGTACGTTACCGCGGGCACCATTTCAGTGATTTCCTTAAGTATGGATGTATAAGCAGCGTGTAAGTTTCTCCCTCGCCCTCTTTTGCTAAAACTCTATGTCGTAGTATTTTCAGATGAGGCGGATTATTGAATGCAAGATTGTATATTTGATCAAGTTTGAGAAGACTGTTCAGTTCAAGTTAATAATTTGATTTATTTTAATTTAGAGAAGTAACTCGGTGGAGACGTCAGCAGGGCTTGCCAAAAGCCACCAGTTAACCAGAAGAAGATCTGATGGTGACATTAAAAAGTAAGTGCAGTCACGGTGTAGTCACTTACGATGGAGATTGGAACGTTCAGACTTTTTTGTCAGTCTTGTGGTCAGAAGTACAGTTTACAAAATTTGCTATTAAGTCAGGGTTTTGCCTGTTTTTAATGTCATAATGACAAGTGCCGGTGTACATATATATTCTTGACTACATGGCCTTTTTGGAAGCGTTCCGTATCCGCGTTAGGCACTTATTGCTTACTATTTATGACTGCATGGTTGACTGCAGACTGGACAGTAGCGTGTTTTCTTACGTCATAGAAGTTGTGGTCCATGCTGCCTCTCAGCAGAAAATTGTCTCGCGGATTGTATGGGCGTTAAAATGTTTGCAGCCAAAGACTACTATCTAAGCAAACGAGTAGAGGATCTTACAGCTGATAGAGATTCAGCGCTGCAGAATTCTCAGGACCTGCTTCATGGCATGCAGGTAGCATACGTTCAATTGTTTATTAGTAGGGTTCAGGGAGCTACTTCACGCTTTGTGTATCCAATGGAATGTGTCTTAATCGTCATCATCGTTGAGTTTCCTCGTTCATTTGTGATGTTTTGTTATCTTTATAGAGTTCATCTTACTATTTCCAGTATTTTAAGGTAGTTTCCAAATGACGCACGATATCCTAACTTAACACCTTTGAATATTAACTGACCTGAAAAAAGAGCTTGTTGATTATTTTTAGCAACTGAGAGAAGCGTATGAAGAGGAGATAGGAAGACATCTGCAGCAAGAGAGCACCAAGTCTGAAAAGGAAAAACTTTTTCAGGTTTCTGTAATTTTTATTTGATTTTAATCTTCAGCTCCCCTCGATTCTACGATTAACACCTTTCTATCAAATTACGCTGTGGTGTGTTCATTCGTTCTTATCCGCCCTTTTTCATTAAGAAAAGTTGTCTTTGCAAAATTCGTTCTGTAATCGTTTGATATCCGTATACTTGCTCGCAAGATTCCTTCAATACGTTGGTGTTTCATAGATTCCATCTAGACACGCAAACCACGATAGATTTCGCAAACACAACGGCGACAACTTGTTGATAAATTTATAACCATTGCTCATTCTGATGCCTCACTCAGGTGCATAATGAAGATGACGATCAGTTATTTGGTAAGTTAAATGCTTGCAAAGTTGAAGATGCTTACAAAACTAAAGTATTGTAACCTTTATGGGCTTACTGGGGCGTTTTTGTCTTTGTGTATGTGTCTTTTAAGGGAGCCTTATTCTGAACTAAACAAACGAATAATTCCTATTTTCATGGATGAACTTAGCCTTTCTGGTCTTTTCTCTTCCCGTTGTTTAGGTGCAAACTCCAAACTTGATACGGAGGTCAAGCAGTTAACAGCTCAGAAGGATGCATTGGAAGTCAAAAGGTTTTTTTTTTCCCCTTTCCATTGAATTTTTGTGTTTATCTGTTCTTTGACCTTACACGTTGATTTCAAATGTCAAAAATTGTTCCCACCGCAAGTCATGACGTTACTAAATGTCTTTGCAGCAAACATTTGGAATGTGAACGCGACGAACTGCGAAACCAGGTGGAAGAACTCTGTAGAATGAAAACATCAGTTGAGGAGTACGTCAGTGTTTACAACTACCTTGTGGAAATTGAGACCGGCCACTTCCTGTAACGAAAGACTGACTTTCCATATAACGAATTGCTGTAGATCATGTATTTTTATAATATGAATTCCAACTTAAGAGTGGGAAGCACAGATTCAGGACCACACAATTTCCAGTTCTTGTACAAAGAAAGATTGGTGTTTTGCCCTGATTTACACGAGCATGTAGCCATCTGCTACCTGTAATTGTTGGTCTGTACTATCCAAGAATTCGAGTCAATTCCTCGCAATTGTGAGGTCGTGTTTTTGCCTTAATGATCATTGGGACACAAAGTCGGTATCAAACCATTTCTCCCTGTTCATCCATCTTGATCAGTACTGAAGAGTAACAATAATTAACCATGCACTTCACGCTTAGTAAGCATCGTTGTACCGTAAGAAGAACAAACCTACGGCGCAAAGTTCAGTAGGTAATTTGTAAAACTTGTATTTCTGTTTTTAGAAAAGCCGTACAAGTTGATTTGATTTTGAGTCTTAGGAAGCGCGAGAACAAAACGACGTCAGGGCGAAAAAGGTAAGTTTTCTGAAAAAAAGATAACTAATTTAACATAAGAACATGTTACAGTCAGTCCCAAATCTCCAACCCCTTTGTCAAATTTCATCCTACTCGGCTTCGATTCTTGGTTAATTCGGTTGGTAGAGAGTTCCAGCCCAAGATCAGATTAATACACGAGGTCTTTAAATAACTGAAGAGAATGAGTCTTCTTTGCATGAAATCTAAGAATGGGTTGACGGGTGAAAGAAGATGGGTTGGGTTCCCCTCTCGCCTTAGGACTCATAATCCTTAGGCTCTCTCTCAAGCCTAACCTCGTTCCCAGGGGAAGGTTAGCATTAGGGTTAGGGTTAGGGCTAGGGATAGGGCGGGGGAGCGGTTAAAGAACCTCATGACGAGTAGAGCACGAAGCATTTTCAGTCTAACCTTTGTTTGTTTGTTGTGCTGTCGTGATTGATGGGGGCTAGTTGAAACACAATGATACTTAAGCATTCACCTTTTAGCTGAATATTCTGAACAATCAGGTTTATGCTCATCGGCTCGTTCGTAATTGGGAAGAGTGAAACAAATGATTTAGCATGGTTATCGAAAACTGGATCGTTACCATTCGACAATTTTGAATTTTTTATTCGTATAGGTAATCACATGATTTCGAGTGCAATTTGGAATAAATAAGCACGAGTAAATTTTTTTAAAGACTAACAAAATTGCACCAGCCCGTAGGGCGAGTGCAATTTGTGGTCTTTGAAAAAATTAACAAGTGCTTGTTTATTCCAAATTGCACGAGAAAAATCATGTGATTACGTGTTAATAATATACATAGATAAATACGAGATGGCTTATCATAATTAAACATAAGCAAAGCGCGCGCATCAAGTGCAAAAAATAATTTATTCAAACCGTGCGTTCAACAAAACAACCGCGTAGGATCAAAACAATAACAGGCAATGATATCTTCACATCTTTAAGGTGCAAGAAAGTTCAAAGTCCGGCTAAACAGTTCAAGGAATAGTTCAGTCTGTGTCCAAAGCACTTTCGATGAAATGGAATCGTCGTTCCCGAGGTTTAACTATGACTGTTTTTAATTTCGGCGTTGGATCGCTTGAGCAAAGTGTTAAGCTGGGTCGGCTCGTAATTTTCGATTTCCTTGGCAATTCCCTTCTCTAAACACCACTTTTTCCAAACTGACAACCAAAAAGCATTGCTTTTTATAGTGTTTTCGTTGTTTAAGCTGTTTTTCAGCTGCGGTGGCGAAAAAAAACCTACTTAAAACGCCGGCCATTGTTTCGCTCGCAAATTTTCAAATTTTGTTGCGACATCCAAGGCTCGCATTTGATTGGCTATTTGTGAGTTTCTTTGATTATTGACTAATCAGAATGTCTGATTTGTTTCTTTCTTTGAACTGAATTAACCCTCTTCTGCGCTGAATTAACTCTCTTCTGCACTGAATTACCTGAAAACTGCATTTATCTTAACCAATAAGAACTGAGTAATTTTTCCATGTATATTATTATGTATGGAATATTGGGCGTTGTATCGTGACGAAACAGTTATTCAATTGTACGGCATTATTCCGTTTTCCTTATGTCCTAAATTGAAATAAGCAAATTTACGGTTTAATAGTTTGTGGTCGTTTTTGATTATTTTTTTTATTCGCGCTTGTTTGATTTGAGATGATTTCAGTAAGACTCAGTCAACTCATGTTTGTGGAATAATCGCCTAATAATAACAACGCTTTCAGGAGCAAGAGTGTTGGTTTCATGTCACGTGGTTCCATGCAAGAGAAGACCAATTGATAGGTTGGTGTTTGCCGTAATTTAAACCACACCTTTATTATAGTCATGTGTACTGCTTCCCTGAATCAATCGTTCAAAGAAAAAATGTTGTTGTAAATCCGTCAACAGTCGGTCATCTAAATTTTGTGGTTTTGAAATAACCAACAATGTAAAAAAAAATCATCTGATCAAGTTTTTATTTTCATTAGAGGTATATAGCCTATCTCTACTTCTGCTTTTTTATCTGTATGGCTGGAAAACGAACAGGCTAAAATCAGCTTCTCTTCTCGCAAAGTATGTCTTTTCTTTCAGCCTCTTTCAAGATGAAATTGCGCCAAACGTCATATCACTTTTCACGTTAATTATCCATGTCGTTTTGCCGAGCTGGACTTTAGGGAAACAAGCTGTGTAAATCCCAGCCCAGTTACGCTTGCCATATTGGATAGGATGACTTCTGTTACACCCTCTCGTGGATTGTTTATTTAATAATTGTTTTTCATGCAAAACTGTAAATACAATCCTTGTTTTAAAAAAAGTTATAATATTTGGTAAATAATATATTAAACTATTTCTAGTTGAATTTGCTGCTATATACTTTTGTTTTGTCCTCAATCTTGCTATTACTACGGTGGTCCTCAGTAAACGCCTGAAGAGTCTGATGCCAAATTCAAGCAGTTGCATAGATTAACCTTAATGTATCGCCGAAACACTTATATTTGAAAACCCTACAAACCTCACTAACATGCGGAGTTCCTATGTTGACGTCTGTTTGGAGATTGGAGAATTTTAGCTGCTTAAGATGCGTTAACTCACGAAAGAATGTGTGTCATTGCCACCTCTCTTCCCGAGTGCCGTTTCCTCATGACTTCGTCCCAGTGCTCTTTACCAGTTCCCTCACACAGAGGTCCAATTGTCATTTCACCGATGATCTCGTCCGTAGTCAGTAGATCATGGTTCAAAACTCGGATGGTGAGGGAGTATTCATTTATAGTTTCGCCGTCGACATCAAATAGGAAACCTTGATTCCACACCGCATTTACACCGTGTGTTTTCTTAGTTTGTCTGGTTTCCAATACTGTGCCATTTGCCTCCAGCATTACACACACGTACGGTGCTAAAAGAAAAAAAAGGAGGAGCAAAATTCGAATAGTTGCCGATTTTTGAGGAGTTTTTTAATAAATATTCTTCAGACTCTAACTTAAAAATGTCACTTTATATTTTAGTCTTGTGACCTAAGGTTATGAATTCGCTAAAAATTAAAAAGCCGGGCTAGCCCATTAGTAAATGGTGGGATGTATCTGTTGCAGGTAGCAACGGATTCATTTTTTCTTTCTTGTTCTTCTCAACCATTTTTTTTAATCAGAGTCTTTAAACATTCTAATTCAACCAAGAAACAGTACACTCACCGGCATTCAAGAACTTGCTGGTTCTCACTAGATTTGTGGCTTTCAAGATGATAAGGTTGAGTCTTTGTCGTTTTGCCTCGTAGCGGAACGAGATATGTATTTCACCTCTGCTAAAACTTAGAGAGCGTCCTCTGGACTGCAATCAAACGAGATTTCGCAAAATGTAAACATGTGAAAACTTGAATAAATTTTCTAACTTGAAGCGCCTCCCTTTAAATCTTTAAATGCCTTCGTTTTCTGGGAAACTGACTTGCTCCAGAGTGCCTATTGTTCTCGTAGCATTTACTTGCCGTAGCAGAAAAATTATAGATTTGTAATATTACCCGCGAGTTTTACAACTTAAAACCTCCAATGGCCGTTTGCGCGCTACTTTCAGCCAACCTATCACCTGCTTAAATTTCGCTGACCCCTCAAGTTTTCTTTTAGGTTAAGCATTATCACTCATTTATAGCGACATATCGCGTGTCGCAGAAACAACTAAGGATACTCAGTAACAAATTTCTGTCCGAATTAAACCTCTCATCGAGGCAAACCGTCAAACAACATGAAAACCTTGCATCTTTGTAGGCTATAGCTAAGCCTTTTGTCACAACCTACAGCTTGGCCACACGAAAACTCGAAAAGTCCTTGTGAAACTTCGGCATGTTATCGAGACAACGCAAACTTTGTTGAAATATTTTCCGAGGTAGAAACAGGTTATAATAATAATAATAACTTTATTCACAATTCAAGATTATTTACATGATACAATTGATAAAATTAATATACGAAATTTAATAAAAATTCAAAATTATGTATAATACAAAAAGCATTTAGCTTGAAAATTGCCCTAAAAAACTTTAGATGCCCGCAGTGGCGACGTTAACAGGTTATTGCTTATCGGAAGGTCAAATCGCTTTAAAACTTTCTTTTCGGATAGAAGATAAATTAACTTTGAAGAAAGCATTAGATGGAGTTATCCGGTTGGAAGTCTGAGACAACTTTTAGGAACATCACTGAAAGACGCTTTCTGGAGATCCTTTTATCTCTGTTGAAAACTTACAAATTTGCATACAGTTTCAAAGAGCAATGGAAAGAGCTCCCATAACTGAAATTTATCATACGGTAAGTAAGAGCAAGGTATAGCAGCTGACGCACCGAAAGAGTTTAAAATTCGCGGCGATTGTTAATAATTCGACAAGTGCTACTGATTTTACAATGGGCATTGTTTAGTTTGACAGGTATATTGTTATCCAATGACAGTTTTCAAACTGAAAAGGATAGTTGTTCCCGTTGAACAATTTTCGAAATTAAACGGATTCTGTTCGACGGAAGATAAATCTGCCATTTTCCGTGCGTTGATTGTTGGTGGGTTGTAGGGGCTTTAAGAAAATCTATCTTGATAATGACTTTCATACTAAAAAGGACCGAATTTTGTGGAATTTAAAGTGCAAAAAGATAATTCTTCTACTTCGTAAATGTCCTTCATTTTAGGTCCAAATTGTAGATGCATTTTTAATCTTCCAAAAGCCGCTCGTTGATCTAGAAGTTGGTACTTCTAAAACTTAGAAAAGTGAGTTTTACGAAGCGTAGTGGGCTAACTTTGACCAACTCTCCTCTAATTTGGACTAATCTAGGGCTCATCAGAGTGAGATCGCGTTTAAATTTGTGAGCCGGTTTTCTCAGTTTGGGTCAGTTATGCGTTGCGCTTTAGTGATTCTTACTCAACATACCACGACTTTTTGTGGTTCTAAACTTCACTAAAAAAAGTTGGTGTCATTATTCTTTTAATGCTCTTTCTTTTAATACATTTTTACCTTCTTCTTCGCTTTTTCTGTTCTCGATACCTTATGCTTCTACAGTTCGCTTTCCTTCAGCTAGATTTTTCTCCTTTATATTTTTAGAATTGATTCGCTTTCAAGATGTATACACGTAAGACTTCGATAGATTACAGTATAATGGCTATCATACCTCAAATTTTGCATCGGCCGTATTAAGATTGGTGAAAATTTACTATTTTCGTTATTCAAAGTGAACACCAGTAGTCCTACAGAAGAATTTAAAAAAATTTTTAAGACGGGCTGAAAATAAAATCACACTGCAAATCGGATTTGCACTTTTTAGCCTTTTGAATTTGCTAAGTGTACCTCAAACTCTAGTTCGGAATATCATCAACCAGTATACGTGTGACCAAGGTTATGTTGTATTGGCGGATGCTGACAATGCTTACAGCTCACTCACATTGCAGTGGTTCTAGAAAGTTTAAGGTTTTACTGTCTCGATGGACCTTCGGTTACACTCACGAAACTGAAACTGACAAACGATGTCAAAAATTCCTAACCTGTTTGACGGATATTGTTACTTTGATCGTTACTCTTAGCTTAATTTTGTTTTCAGGCGCCAGAACTTTACCTTTTAGATGCAGCCTTGCCTCTTTATACCAATAAACATATTTTTAGGTAAAGAAGTAAGTGCACCAAAGTGTAATAAGAAACTTCTTTCCAAATAGCTCAAACATTCCGAATTCTACAAGGGTCAACAAGAAGTGTGCTTCGTCTAATGAAGAGGTTTTGAATTACCGTTAAGGACCGACATTGTAGTTTGTTACTGATCATGGACACCAACAATACTGAATACTGAGGCCGAGAGGATCACTGAGAGGTGTCAATGATCTAATGCTACCAAGCTTGAATCAAAAGCCGCAATTAAATCAGTCCACATAGTTACGTGATTACACCTTCATCAGATAAATGGCTACAATATTTAAGATGATTTAGCCTTAATTCTCTGCCAACGCAACTCAACCCAATTTCTTTCATCGGAAGTTAGATGGATTAGATGGCCAATATTAGACATTATGTCGGAATATGCTTTGAAGTTTCACCGGGTAGTCTGTTTCGCGTTTTTCCGCGGTGAGAGCTGAAACATGCTTCCTGTCGAGATGAAACTAAGAACCTGAACTTCTGTGCGGGGTATATTTGAAATTCTCTAAGTTCTTCAAAACATCTCTGAACACCAAACACGCAACATTGAACTTAATAAGGAAGTGCAAGAAGAAAACGTTTTTAAACACTTAGAGGGCAATGTCTTCTTAATTAGTTAATATAATGTTATGGCAGGAGTTGCGTCTAATTATAGTCCTCTACAATTCATTGTCTTTCATTAGCACGTTATACTAAAAGGGTAACTGAAACAGGGTCATAACCCGGTGTAAGCTTGTCTTACCTGAGATTTGGGTAACAAGTTCCTCCATATTATCGTTGGCTCACTAGGGTGAAATTTCTCCAAATTAAATCGCACATCCGTGTAGCCGATCATTTTCCCTCTGCTAAACTTATCATATCCATACAGACCAAGGCGAAGGGTTAATTCCATGAGATCGTTCTCTGAGTAACCAATAAACTCGAATGTTTCGTTAAATATTGGTTCTGCAGTGCTGCTTTTGATTTCTGTTCGATAAATGTTGAAGTCGTCTGGCAGAAGTTGAAATCGCACTTGTGTTGGTGGGTGTTTTCCATACCATCGTATCGGAACATTTAAAGCGCACATGATATTAATGAATAAGCGAGATTTATGAAAATTGTAATAAAGAGAAAACTGCAACTGACACGGTTTATTCTCTAATTTTTGAGCAGAAATCATGTCACACTCGCATGGACTGTAAAACGTTGATACTTTTCGGCAAGATGGACACGGAGAGAGATTTTCTTTGTTTTTCTCCTCTTTACCTAATTCTACACTGCCGAGTGCTGATGACAAGATGGGCTCCAACTCCTGGATTTCTCCTGTGTGACTGTTGTTCTTCATCTTGGCGAGTTTTCTGCTTCTATAGCGAAACGCTATTGTACAAACAACTATTGCGATACTGGCAGAGAATATTCCACCGGCCACGGACAGGATCAGAAGAATAAAAGCTAACAGAGCAAAGTAAATCATTAGCATAACACAATAAATGTCAGACGCTCACTTAATTAGATATTTTGATTCATTATCTCTTGAAGAATTTATAAAATTATCATGTAACTTCGTTTAGGAATCCCAGCGTACTCACACATTGCCATGTACGAGGCAACCCTCAAAACTCCGTAGATACTTTATTGGACAAATTTGCTCGCAGTTCCGTGTTTAGTTCGCCATCCAATCGATATTTTGAAGGACGGAGTGTTATGTCAGCGTGTAAATTCGTGTTTCTTTCTTCTCTTTTCATTGGCTACCACTAAAGAACTGAAACAATAGAACTGTAATTTTATTCTTCACGGGTCATGGAACTTCAACTTTAAAACATTCCTGAATGCTGAAAGAGTGTAATGCAACCTCTGTTCAGATCACGTACTGCTTGTAACGTTATTTTGTGGGTTTGCTTGATCTGTTTTGTTGTATGCTGTTAAATTCATTCTGACCAATTAATTTGAGTTGAAACAGCATTGTCAAAAATTCTGACTTGTATGGAAACGCTCTGATATTTGTCTGTAAATTCACATCATTCAGTGAATTTTAGTTGCTAAATTTTAACTGTTCTCAAAATGGTAGGCAATTTGTGATTATGGAACTTTAGTTTCCTTGAAACGTGTTTGGTTACGTAAGTGAGCTACCCGTAAGCTACCCGAATCCGCGCAGGATAATCCCGCGGGATATGCGTAACACGTGGTTTTTTGAAATTTGATCCGGGATATTTCATTGGTTCGGCGTCATCTTCATGTAGTCCTTAATACATTTCAGAAAAGTATTCCAAACTGATCTTGAATTTCTTACGAATGTTAAACACAAAAATGGTTCGAGGTACAAGCAAGGGTGATGATATCGGGTAAGAATCTTGGCTTTAAATCCCTTCTGTGGCCTCCATCGTCCTTCAGGATATTTCGAGCAGTGGAATTAGATAAAACTTTCCCAGATTTTCTTTCGCGAGCTACGATCGATGATTTAGATGTGAACACCACTAGCTAAAATGTTCGCAATCTGCTTTTAATTTACCATTTGCAGGAAAATATTTGTCGGGGGCTTATCCACAGAAACAACCAAAGGTAAAGTGAACTTATGATACTCTGCAACTTTGTGAAGAAGGAGATTTTTCCTATCTCCTCCCTAAGTGAACTAAATGTGCCACGTGCTTTGTTACTCATCACGATTTGTTTGCTGGATTTCAGAGAGCCTTCAAGAGTATTTTAGTGACTTCGGTGAAGTCACAGACTGCATCGTTATGCGGGATACCGCCACGAAACGTTCAAGGTATATTCTTGACATCTTAAAACATGGATCAATTTCTTTGACTCTACATTTGGTCGTCTATGTGGAGTCAACAGTCGTGTTTGATTTAAGCTTATGTATTGCCCTTGGTATGCCTCATAGGGGTTTCGGATTTGTCACTTTTCAAGATCCTGCTTCAGTTGATAGCGTGTGCCAAAAGGCTGAACACATCCTTGATAACAAGAAGGTATGCTAGTAGTTGTCCGCGTTCTATTTCTTAAGCAAGCTTAAGAGGAAGGTTTTTTTGGGTAACTTCCATTGCAATTATACTTTCCGAAGGAAATCACCATCTAGATTAAAGAACGTACAGTTAAGAAATAGTTTCGTGCAGGTAAATTTCTTTGATTAGGCTGTGAAAGTGTCCATGTTTTCTTATATCCCCACAAACCTGTGAAGCTAAGTATATGAGAACTGTATTCTATCGAAAAAACACCACACTTTCTTCGGATTACTTATTAGAATTCAGTTTAGAAACAGGACATGCAGTTAAACCTTAAGCCTTATTGCTCTACAAACAAAAGTGGAAAAATTATTAATAAGCCAGGTCAAGGGAGCAAAATTAACTAAAGGTTCCAGGTTATGTTTGCAGCCATTTTTCACTTGAGACATTTGATAAGACTTCTTCCATGTAGTAGAATCTAGTTTATCACTGTAACTGGCAAAATGTGAAGTCTGTGTTATTTTTTTGAGATTTATTGAAAAGTAATGGCAAATACCAGCAAGTGGTCTTTGCTTGATGGTCAAAGTGTTTGAAAGTGATCACTTACAACACTTTGTGACCTTGGCTGTCTCTTTTTGTTTTTCATAACAATGGAACTACCAAAGCAATGATTATGATGGTGGGCAGAAGTGGGTATTTTGCATGAGTCATCTCTTAAATGCAAAGAGTAAGCTAAGGGTTAAAAGAAAGTTCCAAACCATGGTTGTTTAGTAATATGAATGTCATTTGCAAAAATCAATAACTTTGAACCATTGTGTAGTTCCAGAAAATATCCATACCCCCGCCACGGAGGGAATTTCATATAGGACCCCCCCACCCCTTCGGATTTTCCATTTTGGGGTAGTAGTTGTAGCCCCCCCCACCCCTCTGGAATTTCCAAAGAATTTTCTACCACCCCCTATACCCCCTGGAAATATATTTTTTTCTCATAGCAAACAACAAACAAGAGGGACATGTGATTTTGTCGCGTGTATATTTGAGAGATGGCGTACACGCGCAAGGTAAACGTCGCTAACTAGCTTAAACTTAACG